CGTATATGAGATATATATATATATATATATATATATATATATATATATGTGCGTATTTGAACATTATGATAATTATAGGATGTGGAAACTGATTGCCATTACCTTGTATCTTATGTACTCGGTGTCAAATATCCATATGAAGTGGCTGAACCAAAACCCTTCAAGTGGGCTGTGTGGATCACGATCCGAATCGGTGAACTGGTGATGGAAACGATGTGTGCTTACCCAATCAATTGGATGGCCCTGAAGAAAAGCCATTTCTTTTCGCATCAACAAAATGGCGGATAACACATTGTACCGCAGCGGTTGCGGTTGCGGGTGGCAGCGTTTTCAGAACGTTTGATAGCGATTATAAATGATTAGTACTGACTGGTTGAGAAGCTGCTGTTGGTAACGATTACAGGTAGGTGCAGTTAGAAGTGAGTGGTTCATTACGGTTGTGGTTGTTTTTTTTATATAAATTATCAAAAATAATATTATTTAAAAATAATTTTTATAATAGTTTTAATTAAATTTTTAGTATCATTTGATAAAAATTATTTATTAAATTTATAATAATGAAATAATAAATTTAAAATATAAATATTATCAATTTAATTTATTTTTAAGTAAAAAAATAATTTTATTATAAATTTTTTAAAAAAATAATCATTATTAAACCTAAAAATTATACTATTGTATTTTTTTTTATTAAAATATAATACTAAAAAATAATATCAAATCATAACACTAAACAAAATCATCACCAATATATATTAATGTTTTATATAATTTCTAATAAAAATATTTTAGTTTTTTTTCTTAAAACGCCGAAACCGCTACCAAAACGCGAGTTGTAAGTTGCGATTAGAAAACACAAGTTAATTTGATTGTGGTTGCGATTGATTGCGGTTCAACCAGTCAGTTTTTTAATCGTCCGCAACCGCCGGAAATCGTAACCGCTCCGTTTGCGGGTGTCGGCGGTGTAACCATTGGCCCTTAAAAGTAACTATCGCATTTTATCAAGAGACGGTGAGTGATATTGGCCTAACCTGAAGAGCGAAAAGACCGATATAAGCGAAGAGATACTCGAGCCATTTCGGAAGCTTGAAGCTTCGGTGGGCCAAGTTCCTATGGTAAGACAGCGTGACGCCGAGTGAAATCACAGGATAAAGCATCAAACTGAGCCAGAGGGCTTCCCACGTGAAGTGAAACGGCGCCAAGAGACAAAGCAGATGCACGGCCACAACCGTCATTGTCCTTATAACGTCGAGTCGCTTCCACTGTCTTCGGAAGTACTGTCTCCTCTTCCCACTCGTCTTTGCCTCCGACGTCGAGATCTTCCCCACACTGTAGCCTTCCCCCTCGGCTAACCCTACGCTTTCCATCAGGGGCGATCGATGACACGTAAAATTTTGGCGGAATATGGCTTTGCAGAATCGGCGAAAACAAGTTAAATTGAGATTCTCGGTTTTGGGGGGAGGCTAATGCTTTAATAAGACAGAGTGGTGAGCGTACAATACGATGCCTTGCCGGAGTTTATGCTGTAATAATTAAGATAACTGCGACTAACTTGTGCCCTAAACCACTACAAAACATCGCCCAAGCTATAGCCATGTGATGGCTAGTGATAGCTTCATTTCGTAAATTAAAATATGTTCATATATAAATTATTCATTTTTGGTAATAGGTAGTTTCTCCATATATTCGGTCGTTACATTTACATGGTTCGCTCCTTAGATTATATGTTTTTTTTGGAATCGACAGTAAACCATTTGATTGGAATTACACGCTTCCCTCTCCAATTTATGGTTCAAACTTGAGACGAGACAGACGTTTTGCATCAACTTTCAACGGTTGAGTTATTCAAATTAGGTGGTATATTATATGTTATGTTTAAGATCATGAATCCATGGTGAAGATATATATATGATATTTTGTCGGGATATTATATATATATATATATGTATACTATTTTAAAAAATATAGTTTCGTTATATAGTTTCTTAGAATGACTATATATATATATATATATATATGTCTAATTCAAAAGTAAACATGTCGCCATTAGCTTAAGTTGACGCAAATATACTTCACTCCACCAACATAACGAAAGAGATATATACCCATGATCTTCGCGACAAGCCCTCATGCCGTTGCTTCCATCAACGTGAAGTTCATGTCGTGATTTGGTGTATTTGAGTGATGATCAAGACATAAACAACTAATTACAGGGAGAGTTACTTGGTTCGAACGGAGTCCGTATGTAATTTGAAGATACAAACGGAGAGTTAATACCTGACCTGATCGGTTTTTTTTTTAATGTTAGGGTCGGTTCTTATTCTGAAAATTAATTTTTGAAAATATGTTTTTATTAAACGACAATGAAATAAAACTATTATCGCAAGTTTATGTTTATAACTTTTATGTTAAAATTTTGAAAAAAATACTTGAACTTCTCAATTTTCACATAATAAAACCTAAACTTTGTTTTTTTAATTAAATAAAACCTCAACTTTGTTTTTTTAGTAAAAAAATAAATCCGAATTTTATAATCTTTATTATTTTTAAACCTATGCTAACGTGACATTCTATTTGGATGATGGAGTGTCAAATATAGTCGAAGTGTTGACTTGTCACGTAGAATATCGAAATATCACGTCAATAATATGTTAAAAATGATAAAAAAAATATAAAATTCGAAAATTTGAGGTTTTATTTGATACAAAATAAAGTTTAGATTTTATTACGTGAAAACTGATAAATTCATGTATTTTTTTTGGGATTTTTTCTAAAATTTTTAGTGATAAAATTGAATTAACTTTTGCATTTAACAATTTAATACAATTTCATTTCTGATTCAAAATATAACCTCTAACATAAAATTTCCGTCACTTCTTTGTCAAAATTTTGAATTCAATTCTAACGTTATTTTTTCGTTGGTTTAACATTGGAATCGTGTTAATTTCTTCAACGTTTATATATATACACACACGTTGAAATCGCACCACAATTTTAAACATTTTATTAATATTTTTTTCATTTATTCTGTATTAAAAATAACATTACATTCGCTGGTTCTATTACTTTCTAACGCAAATTTGTATTCTAATTTTTTTTCCCGAAAAAAAATTATTAGTGATATCTTCAATTCGTCGGTCCATTTTACGAAATAATTGTCTCTCGAGAGGCAGCATCTCATTTTTCATCCAACGGTGCTCAACACGCGAACGCGCTTGCCTACGGTACATACAAGTGTACTGCACACCGATTTACGCATCTCGTGGTTGTACCTTCGGTCAACTATCGGGAAATGAAACAACATTTTCAAACGTACAACCCATGAAGCACGTTTTGGATCCGCGAACAAGTATTTGTTCATTCAAGTCAGGACACAACACATGAAGGGACAGAGAGAGAATGTCCGCCTTCCTCCTCTGTCGGATCGTGATTTCCCCTTCGACTCCCTTTTCCCTCTTCTTTTCTTCTGCCCGAACCCTTAACTTTTGCGGGAAAATCCGATAATTTCCTCGGGAAAATTTCTGTGCTTTTAACTCACCTTCGATTCTTTTGGATCTCTCTGTTGGGTCGTCGTTTTGCTTCGGTTTGAGGAGGCCACTGCGTTTGCCTGGATCTCTGTAAGTGTTCTAACACGGTTCCATTTTTTCCTCGATTTCTCGTTAGGGTTTTAATATTTTGTTCCCTTCGCTCATTTTGATTCACGGGTAGATTCTAGTTCCTAGGGTTTCTTCGTTATCCTCTCTCTCGGTGAAGGAATCGATAGCTGAACTTTGTGGACAAAACCTAATTCGTGTACTAGTTGTCAGGCTTATGATCTGATTTGGACTATCATCATCTGCAGATAGTGGTGACCTCAAGTCTCCGGTGAATTCCTTGATAATGGATAAGGAAAAAGCTCCTGCCGCCGGTGGAGGTTTGCCACCTCCCTCGGGCAGGTACTCGGCATTTTCTCTCAACGGAAGTAGCTTTGGAATGAAAGCTGAATCGTCGCTTCCTCCATTGGCCCCAGGTTCGAGCTCAGACGCTGGTGCTTTTGGTCATGGATCAGAGTCTGGCGGATTTAGCCATGACATTAGTCGCATGCTCGATAACCCACCTAAGAATCTGGGTCATCGACGTGCTCACTCAGAAATTCTTACTCTCCCTGATGATTTGGGCTTTTATAGCGATTTTGGTGCGGTTGGTGGTGCTGATGGACCTTCCTTCTCAGATGAGATGGAAGATTTGCTTTCGATGTATCTTGATATGGATAAGTTCGATTCTTCGGCCACATCTTCGTCCCAAGTGGGCGAGCCTTCTGAACCTGCCGGGAGGAGTGAAGGAGCACAGGCAGGCCCCGAGAATTTTGGTGTTTTCGTCAATCCTGAGGGTGCACCTGCAAGTTCTAGCGAAAGGACGAGAATCAGGCACCAACACAGCCAATCTATGGATGGTTCAACGATTATCAAACCCGAGATGCTAATGTCTGTTGCTGAAGAAGCATCTCCATCTGATACTAAGAAAGCCATGTCTGCTGATAAACTTGCCGAGCTCGCTCTCATTGATCCAAAACGCGCGAAGAGGTATTATTTGTTTCCTTCTATGCTCAGTACCGTTACTGTGTTTAAGTTCATGTCTCATGAATAGTCAAACTAATGCTACGTAAGATTTACCAATTTATAAGTTTTAGATTCATTTTATTTATTGCATTTCCTAGATTGTTAGCATTTCAATCCGTTTCAAGCTTCTAGATCGATTGAATTCTTATGTAGACTTTAATCTAGTTTATTGGAAATGGTACCTAAGATAGCATTGCGTTTTTTTCACTGAGGACGGTATCACGTATTAGAGTTGCACGAAATCATAAATATCCAAACTTGCAAACTTTTTGAATTGTGTTTTTGTTATGGTACCATATTTGGCATTGGCTTCTTACGAAGTTCTTTTTGTTGAAGGCGCAGACTAGGAAAACCTCCGAGCTTCTATATTCCCGAATTTGCATGTAGTATCTTTTTGGATTCTTTCTCTTTTGGGGTCCTACAAGATGTTGTTGATGGGAATGGCTTTCCGTGACCTTTTAGAAACTGCTCTAGTGTAAAATAATCATCTGTAGATAGATGGTTTTACTTATTATTGGCTTTGTTTTCTCATAGTTTCCAGCAGTTACTTCTCAATTTCAAAGAATAATGATTCTCCTTTCTGTTATGGTTACACCTGTCTGCTACATCCATGAAGAATGCACTGTTAGGTTATAATTCCTAGTTTATCTTGGCAGACATTTAAGATTAGACAGTCTTTATCATCATTAGAAATCCTACATCTATGCGGAGAATCTGGAGATGTAAATGACTATATTTTAGGGCTAATGAAATTCGGTATGTAATATAGGATAGGCTGAAGTGACCTATTTCAGTTGTAGATCTGCCTTTACTTAGGATTACACGGCAACTAGATTTGTTACTTTGTTATTCTTGCATGTTGTGAAAAGGTCGTTTTTGTACTTGTTAACGATGTGTTTACCCCATAACCATGCTTCTTTCATTTTGCATTGTGTATTCCCCCCACCCTCTCCTCTTTGCTTCCTAATTATTTTCTATAACTGGTGCACTTGCATGACCTGCTCTTGTGTGATTTGATAGGATATGGGCAAACAGGCAATCTGCGGCAAGGTCGAAGGAGAGGAAGATGAGATACATTGCGGAACTTGAAAGAAAAATACAAACCCTACAAACAGAGTCAACATCCCTTTCAGCCCAGTTGACTCTACGGCAGGTTGGTTGAGTCGGCATGCGGTCTATGCTCTGAGATCTCTTGTTTGGATCGATGCTGCTCTTGTTTCATGTCAAATGAAATTTGTGTTTACTTTATTGTCATTTATTTCAATTAATAATATAATATATTGGAATATAACGATGATCATGCTAGCTCTATTTTCTTCCTCCTGTTGTGCAGAGAGACACAAGTGGCCTCACTGTTGAAAATAACGAGCTGAAACTGCGGTTACAAACAATTGAACAACAGGTTCATTTGCAGGATGGTGAGGCTCTTTTTACAAAAAAACCTGCTTCGATGCTAACATTTCTTTTAATCTTTTCCCTCATATACCCTTTAGTCTTATGAAAAAGTCATGGGGGGTTTGGCTGTTAGCTTTTTTAGCACAAAATTTATCTCATGGATACTCTCGAGGTACTGAAATGCTGCACCAATTTAGCGGACGCATGATATGTCTGAGAAGAAAAGTGTGCCTTGGTTGTGTTCTTTTTTTGTGTTCATGTGCGTATACTGATAATTTAATATTCGACTAACGTGTAGTTGATACATCTATGTAAAATCACTTTCATAGTTGATCTACATGTTAATTCATAAAAACCTATCCATACCTAATTTTTTATGAGTTTGTTTCGCAATCCATTAGCAATGTGATTATGTGTATATTGTTGGCTTCCACAGACGAAAAGATTACTACCGAAGCACTTATTTCAGGACGGTGTTACCTATGTCTATGTAGCATGTCTGTGTCTTTACATGGACAATCGTGTGTCGGATCAATTGCATAATACTAAATGCTATGCTTTCCTTCTTTTCCCCTTTTGGAAAATTTCCAAATCTGTTCGCTGCTTGTATGACTAATCTGTTTCTCTTACGTAGTATTGCTCATGGGAAAGTTATTTCGGGTTAAGCGTTTAAGACTTATCTATCTCTTCTATACCTCGGCAAAACATTTGTTCATATAGTTTTTTGTGCATGTGGACATGTGTGTAGACCTAGTTTTTGTGTTTCTCGGAGAGCAACGCTAGGAAAAACTCTGACATGACATATAATCCCTTCTTATTTTTTGCATTTTCTAGTTAAGCAAGCCCGGATATTTTTTCCTAATCAGGTTTTGTAGTAAAATTCATTACAAAGATTAGTTTGCTGTCAACTGCCATCTTATATGATGAATTCATCCTTCTCTTTGTTTTTTTTTTCAGCGCTAAATGATTCGTTGAAGGAGGAAATCCAGCATCTTAAGGTGCTGACAGGCCAAGTGGCAAACGGTGCATCGATGATGAACTATGGTTCATATGGATCGAACCAGCAAATCCATCGCAACAGTCAGGCGATGCACACTCTCTTAGCCGCACAGCAGTTCCAGCAGCTCCAGATTCATTCGCAGAAGCAGCAACAGCAGCAACAGCTACAGCTACAGCAGCAGCAGCAGCAGCAGCAACAGCTACAGCAGCAGCAGCAACAACTAC